CCTGAAGTAATATGCTGTGCAGATGCTCTCACCTTCTTATGAGGAGGTGAGAGAACAGTCCTCAGCACAGTATAATAAAATGAGGCAGAACTTAATATAGAAGCATCTTAAGTACTTCAAAGGCAATTCTTGAAAGAAAAATTAAGAATAATTATTTATAATGTCCTACACATTATTTGTTGCAACTAGGTCTAAAAAAAAAAGCTACTATAATAATATTTATTTCTATAATTTAAATGCTAAATAAATAACACAGTAGAAATAAAGAATTATGAGACATTAGATACAGAGGTATGGTATTATGAATGATGAGGTCCTTAGAGCTGGGATTGACTGCCACATGCTTTTCAAGATTTTAACTAGCACAAACACTCGTGGAATAAAAGAATTAGATTAATGATCAGTGGCATAATCCTTCAGTGACACAGAGGTGGATAGGGACAGATGACAGTAGGAAGCTGGCATGCTTGTAGCATTTATAGGTCCTAGGGAGATAGGTTTTGTATTATAAAAGAAAACAGAATTTTCAATATATATTTGCATAAATGTATTCAAATAAAATAATGAAATTGTCAATTTGTCTGGGCATACATATTCTGAGTGAATAGCCAGAACAGAGCAAGGCGGCTTGCCTTTCCTCTTTTCCAGGAAATTACTTGTTCCTTACAGTAACTACTGTGAATTCACTGTGAACAAACCAGGGTCCAAAGTCCTTGTACATGTCAAACTATTAATGAGGACTTCAAATGTAAAATACATATAGTGGTAATGTGTAACATTACAGGTGACAGCCAAGGTGTTGTCACCTGGTGTGATGCAGCTGGAGTTTTAGTCCATGTAAACCAAAAAATTCTACATTACAGCTGTGGGATAAAACTGCTTGGTATTATCAGAGCCTACATAAATCTTACCAGTTATCATAGCCCAGTCCTCAGAAAACAAAAAACCCACTTCCTTTTCTCCCAAGTCTGTTCTTAGCATATTATTCTCATGCCTAGAGAAAGTGAAGCCTAGACTGAAGCTAATCAGAAACCAGTCCCATTATACATATTGGCTGGTCAGTGTCTGCAATTTGCATTATTCTTTCCTTTTTTCCAAAGTCTTCTGAACCATCTACTATGTTGCTATCACCAGCCCTATCTTGAAATAGATCTCTATTTTAATGTCATCAAGCTTTTAAGGAAATGGAAGTAATAAAGACACTATGTCAATCACATCACTCCTTTCAGTGTTTTTTCCTAACAGTGAGATGAAACCTGTGTAATAAAAGGAAAGAGTTACATGCAGAATACATTTAATATGCTTATACTCCCAATCCTATAATGAGTAAAATCTGTTCTTGAGTTCAGTATTCAGAGAGATCCTGAATTTAGACAAGCTAAGTAAAAGAAGATGCTTGCAGGAGAAAAGCATAATGAAAGTTTACCAACAGCTAAATTAACCATTAACAACTGTCAATGCCTGTAGCTCCCTATGTTTTATCAATGTCTACAGCTGTGTGTAAGTACTGCTGAAAGCTGTATTTAAAGATTAGCCTGCTCTGTATGCACAGGATGAATTATTACCCAAAGTGATAATCAACAGTCCTAAAAAAGGAAACTGTTTTATGGGTTTTCTCCTTACAGAGCTATGATACATATTCTTTCATTTGAACTGGCAAGAATACTTCCCTGGCTTCCTCTTTCTAGCTTCATTTCAAGGTCACCATTGCTTGAAAAAAATCAGCAGTAATAAAATATGAGGTTGTGTTTATAAGTGAAGCAATGCAGAGAAGATTTAAAATAAAAATTGATAAAAATTAATTAAATAAGCTGTGAAAAAAGATCTGCAGAAAAAAATCCTACTATTTGTCACAAATAAGAACAATTATCTACATAAAAGAACCAAGAAATTATTATTATTATCAAAGAAAAATAATTTACATTTCATTTATGGGAATTTAAATTTATAAACTGAACCATCCACTTTAATCAAGTTTGCTGTCAAATACTTTTAATTTGAAATTATATAACTTGATAATCTCGGTACAGTAATTAATAATTAAAAATTAGCCACATTATTGTGAACTTATAATTACTGAATTGGTATTTTATATATCAGAGATCCCAAAAAGGGGAAAAATTGACCTGAAATTCTGAATAAAATATTCTGCAGACAAAGTTAAAAAATGTCAAATCTGGAAACAAAAGTTTTCCATTTTAACTTGTGGATAGTTAGATGGACTTAGCAGTGGATAGTTGACTTTATACTCATGTCTAGAAAATATATTAACTGGGGAGCATGTTTTATGATGATCACTGCCAGATCCAGTAACCACAACATCAAATGATACTCAGTTGCCAGCCAAGGCAGCAGGAGGAGTAGGTGACATTGCCCTCTGCTTTCTCTCCCAGTGGAATATTGCTATCCCAGATGAGACCTCATGGGGCTGCAGGAAGGGGTGGGATTTGCTGTGCCTTTCACTGACTCCCTAGACAATAGCAAAGCTTTCTAGTGCCTTTCTAGCATCTGCAATTGATGGTGTGACACAAACATGGTTTTCCAACATAGTTGTCAGAAGAGCACTGTAATTTACACTTCAGCTCTGTGTGCACCACAAAAGAAAGAGACTGATGTATCACATGGGCATATGGAACCCAAAGAAACTGAGAGAAAAATTCATATAACCAACAGCAATGATAATCAGGAAGTGTAAGCAGGCAGAATATGTTTATCAAAAGAATGATCCAGGTAAAAAATGCATCAATAAATATTTAATTTAGCCACAATAACTTCAGAGCTTTAATATGACCTAAACTTGGTGATAAAAGAGATGCAAAAGCAACAATATCATAAACAGATCATTTTATCTTCTCTAGAAGATGTCCTAAATATTCATCACTCATTATAAAATTAAACTGTCATATCTTGTAATGATTTGGAGAAATCAAAATAGAAATATCTTAGTGTTGAGCGCTGTGCATATTTGACTTCCTTTGAAGTACACTTGAGTTTAATTAGAACATAAACTTCAAAGAGTTCACCATCTGACTACCTATTGTGAAAAAAGGCCAAAAGGTAGCTTTTCACCATCAATTTATAAACTTCGTCTCCCAAATCCCTGAGACCTCCTTGTCACAATTCTAATCAGTTGATTAAAATGTGGGAACAAAGCTGCTAAACATCCAGCACCTACCTCACCAAAAGGGTAGACTTATATTCTTAGTTGTTATTTGAGAATAATTTTTGCCATTTTGCTTTGTCATTTCTTTCATTACAACCTGATTATTTCAAGATCATTTTGACTGAATGTCTACAGAACCCCGCTTACTCATTGGTCACAGCCAACCTCAAACAGCAGCATACCATGGCTTGTAAGTTTTATTAGTACTAATGAGATGTGAGTACATAATTGAATTATTGTGTCTCATGGTCAGACCCCTGTAAAAAATACATTCTGAAAATTATGACAAGAAGGTGACATTCCAGTCTCTTGTAATATTTCTACATTCTACATTGAATTTAGCAAATAAAATTCCATTGAATAACCTCTAGAATCAGATCAAAATTCAGATAATAATAATTTCCCAAAGTGAAAAAAAGAGCATATTACCATACAGCAACTCAAAATCATATTAACACAAAGTGAAATGGGAATAAATCCATGCCTGAAATCTTACATGAAAATGCAGAGGTTCATGTTTAAGAGTTACAAAAGTGCTGCAAGGAAATTACATCCTCAGTACTGGTCTTCTTGCTGTTTTCCTGATCTTGCCAAGTAATTGTACACACATTTTGTTTTAAAATTTTAAAGATGTTCTCTGGGCATTACATGAAGACTGGATGATAATAAATAGCTGCTGGTCTTTTTATTTTTTAAAAGGACCTACACTATGACTGTTTATTCTACTTCTCGTAATTTGGAGGGAACTTATCAAAGAAGAAAAAATGGATTTTTGTCATAATATTCTTTACTGTAAGCTTTTTTTTGTGTTATTTCCAAATTACATAAGATAGCTCTGTCATCTTGCATCTAGCTAATGTTTCAGAAGAAAGCCTGGTAAAACTTGCCAAGCATCAAATGCTTCTGAATCTAAATCAAAGCTAAACAGATGCCATCAGAATAAAGAAAATTTTCATTTTGCCCTTCAAAATATCCTGAAAATGGGGAACTGAACTTAGTGTTCTATATTGGACTTTATAACAAAAACATTCTAAGTTTTTATTAAAATTCCCTTATAGTACAGAAGCAGAGATTTCTGGTTATTTTTAGGTCTTAGGGTTTTTTTACCTCACCAGAACTAAAATATAAGTTATATAAATATTCTTCCTTAATCAGAATAGCAAGAATGTATATAAAATGTAATCTCAAGTTAAATGAGCAAAGTCCTGAAAGCTCAGTTAAATAAGAAAAATTGTAACAGACATACTTATGTGTTAAATTTGCCTAAAAGTACAAATAACAATGTCTCTCTCACTGTGCAAGACCTTGCAATGTAACTCCTTTCTCAAGTGCTGCATGCTTTTTCATATCTGGAAAATAGGTGCTATAGTCCTCTGTTAGATTATGAAATCTAGTACAGTCAGAACTAAAAGAGGAGACAGCAGTGGTAGTCATATTCATGTTTTAGCTGAAAACCTGTAATATTCAGAAATATTGCATTATCATATTTCAGTATTTTCTAATCTATTTTGACTCAAGTGACTGCTCTCCCAGCTGTGAAATCTATGCTGGCTGACACCCCTTCTGCCTCTCAATCCCATTACCGTGTGCCCACATTGCAAACAGAAATTAAATATTAATTCCTTTTCATGTCACCCCTATGGCATATTTTTCATACCTCTGCCCTCTCCCACAACATTCTAATTGCCATAGCAGCAGATCTTACAGTTTGGGAAACAATATCAAACTCCAACGCAGACAACAAGCAAAATATTCTTCATTGCATAGCCAGCAAACCTGATTTAAAACAAATTCAAAGCACAGTATACATATATACATGGAGTTGCCTTTTACTCACAAGAGGTTCTGCCATGATGATGCGAATCTTGCGTTCAGCCAGGGTAGTGAAGTTAACAAACAAGCTCTTCAGGACGTATTCGCCTGGTTTGCTGTCCGGGTCAATGCTGATGGGCAGCATGGCTGGGGGTCCTCTTTCTCTCTGTGTACCAGAAACAGGAGGGACAGGTGGCTTGATATATCCGTTACCAACTGGAGAAGCTGAAATGTAGAAAAGGCACATTAACTTCTGGGTAATTCAACATGGTTTAACTTTCACAGAGCACCTCAACAGCTCACTACACTGTCAAAGCAAAACTGGAGACTAGCTGCTTAATCAAAGAAATACACAACACATCAATATAACTTCCATGATACCATAGGTAAAATATACATTATCCAACTGTAAGAAGAAATCAAAGATGAAATCTTTTATATTAAAATTGAGTGGCATTTACTAAACAGTGCATACTCTTTTTTTTTTTTTTTTTACATGGTAAGACTTGCTGACACGTAACTGAAAAACATCCTCATTTTTTATCTTTTTCATGCAAGCCAGACCTGTAACTCAGTTATCAAATAACAAAAATTTATTATTTATTTATTTATTTGTTTGTTTGTTTGTTTGTTTGTTTGTTTATACTTTATTGCTACTCAAGCTGGCTTAGCCTTGCAGAAGTCAGGAGTCTGGTCTTTTGAATATGATGAGTAGCAAAGGATCTTATTCTCCTGTAATCTATACTGAGGTCAGTCAAGAATGACTCAAAGAAACAACATACATGTAACCAGTATAAATATTACATAAAAGTAAGACACAGAATGTTTTCCACAGCCAGAAAGTATTAATTATGCATTAGCTTTCCTGAAAGAACCAAACCCTACAGCTCCATCTGGCACTTTTGAGATTACACCCGGTGTATTTTGTTCAGATTTGTGCTCTCCCATACAAGAATGACATTTCTATTCTGAAGCAAAGCCAAGAAAGGACCACGAAGATGACCAGGGGCTTGCTAGGCTGAGAGTGCTGGACCCATTCAACCTTGAGAAGAGAATCTTATTGCACTCTTTAGCTACCTAATGGAGTACAGCAAAGACTCCAAGGAACTAGATTCTTCTCTGAGCTGAGGATGATAGGACAAGAGGCAACAGACACTAGTTTGAATGTGAGTAATTTCTATTAGATATATGGAAATAATTTCCACTGTGAGGGGGTGATCAAACACTGATACATGTTGTCTAGAGATACAGCGGAAACTTCACTTTTGGAGACACTTGAAAGTTGACCAGACAAGGTCCCAAGAAATCTTCCCTAGTTAGTGAGTAAGCTGGGGTTGGACTAATCATCCACCACTAATCATCCACTAAATTATCCTGTGACTGAATTCCCTGTAATGAGTATCAAGACTGAGCTCTACTTTGCTATTTTTCTGTGAATGAAGGAAAAACAAATGGAAGCACTTCAAATATTACCATTTTACACATTACACGTAAGATTTACAACACAGGGTTCCGCTCTTATTGTCAATAAAAGTAATGTTTGGTGTTCAGGCAGATACTGGTAGCACCCTCTCTTGGTTAGTTTTGCCCGAAACTTTAAAAGTAGCAAATTAAGTAGCACTGGCAAGACCAGCCATTATCCACTCTGAATGTAATGAAAGTGTCGCAATGCCCAGGAGTGCTACTGGTGATTGGGAGAGAGATGCTTTAATGCAATACAAACCATAGAAATATTGAGAACTAAAAGCATTACAGCACTTCCCCACAGCACTGCACTCCAGAGTGTTACATTATATGTCACATCCAAGTTGCAAAGAAAGAAAGAAAGAGAGAAAGGAGAAATCAACTACAGTGATGATTGCCTCACATCTAGTACCATCAGTACCACTTTTCCTTTGAGATACAGAATTGTAAGTGTTACTGAAATTAACTTTAATTATTAGGGACATATGATTGTTTTAACAATGAATTAGATTTTTGACCTTTCCTATGGACTTTAACACTCAATTGCTGAACAAAAATGAAAAAAAAATTAAAAAAGAAACTTTATGGTTTCAGAGTTTTTAAATAAGAACCCAAAATTACACACTGAAAAATAAAAAAGGATCTATTAGAGAAAAGAGAACGTGTTTTCCTTTATAAAAATTAGGTTTTAAGTTCTTATATGACTATAATAGAAGACAGAAATGCTTCTCTTGATGTAGTTATTATTCTGCAAGCGCAACACAGCTATACTTTTCTTTGAAAATAACCCCTCACTGACGAGGTACAGCATCACTCTTCTGCACAGCAGCAGCACTTTCCCACTGTGACAGATGTTTCCTGCTAGATTTGTTTCCTGCAAAGTTTCACTTGATTTTTGAGGGCAAAAGCATTATCATAGAATCTTCCTGGCATTATGACTCTTTGCAAGAAACAAAGTGCATAAAACTCCTACATTTATACTACACAAAACTTGTTCTAAAAATACACTGTTGTTCCAAATAAGAATCTACTTCAAAGTACTGAATAAAGTGCCACCGGAGAAGAGTTTGTTACTGCTCCTTTGTCATCACCCAGGCTCTCTTAAACACGAAGACAGTGGGATGCAAAGGATCAGATGCAATTTTTTATGGACTATCAAATACTCTAGGCAATGGAAATCTCTCCACAAATACCTTTAGGATGGAGTCAGACAACATTTTTACAATTAGGAATATATTTGCCAAATGTGCGTGGTTTTGACCGGCTCACATCTACCCATGAAATCAGCTCAATCTCCAAGTGCTCAGTCAGGAAATTTTTTTTGGTGAGCAGCGAAACCAATTTTCTTACGGATTTGTGGCTCTGCACCGCGGCAGCCCCGTCCTTGGCACTGCCGGCGGGCCGGGCTCCCCGCCAAGCACAACACTCCGCGCCGGGGCCAGCCGGCCAGCCCAGGCTGCTCCAGAGGAGTCCGCAGCGATCTAATCGAACACAAACCTGCCTTCTGTTCCGCGCCAATTCTGCTTCAAACCTGGCTACTAGCTCAGAACATCAAGGGGATTCAAGGGAGGCAGGCAGGCAGGCGGTGTGTGAGAGCAGGCACGCTCCACATCCTGGCCAAACCTTAGCCATGCTACCTGGGAGCTGCCACCCTAACCTTCCATCACCGGAGCATTCAGCCAGGATTCTGAGACTGGAATTGAAATCCACATAGTCATTGTTAGTAGGAAGCCTTTTAACAATGACTCTTGTTAGGTTTGTGACACAGGCGGATTTAATCTTTTTTCCCAGACATCTAACCAAAAAATCACTTATTTGCACAATGTAATAGAGGAATGCAATTATTTGTGAGATTTGGCAGTGCACCGAAAATTTTTATTCTAGTTCTTCTCAGAAATAAAGAACTGCACAACCTTTCCCCAAATGCAGAAAAAGCACATCCTGGGGGTTAACATCTATCATTACTATAGCAATTAGAGCAGTTAAGAGAAATGACTGACATATGACATTGATTTAGTTCAAGTTTTTAAAAGACCATTTTGTAGCTGTTAACTCCATTTAAGCATATTTAGTGTGAAAGCTAGAATTGCCAACACTCTGAGGGTCTGGAGTTGATCATGAGTTGGTCATGAACTATTATATATAGGTTTGGCTTTCTAAGGCATCTTTTCAGCTTCATTATCTCCAGCATTTGCCTATACTTCATATTTGCATTGAAAAAATCTGGCCCAGCGACAAGACTATCACTGATATCTATACTGATAATGTATAAGTATTAACATAATATAGCTTTGAGGCCTAGCTTTGGGAGCCCTATAAAACTCACCAAAAAAAGTTGACTCTGAGACATAAAATTGGAAATCAAGGACTCCAAGTTTAAGAAGTAGCTGCATTAAAGTCATCCCTGGTTGGCTCCTTTATGTTGACACATTACAGTGTGAGCCTTAGAAGTAGAAGGAAAATGGATGGGCTCAGTTTCGCCGTCTGCCATCAGTGAAACACTGCCCCATTAAATAAAATGCATAATTTTAACATGAGAAATCACCATATATAGTTCGTGTGGGTTCATGCTGAAGATACATGGAGGGAGGTGGGTGGAAGGAAGGAGTTCTACTCAATTTGAGATACCGATTTCCTCAACAAGTTTAGTTTTTACTGCCTGATTTTAAAATAATAAATGTCATACAAAGACAAGGAACAGAACAGGCCACAGAAGCATTTAGTTTGAATGTCTACATAATTTAGGGTGTTGGTCACCACACAAGCTAAACCCTTAACCTAGAGAAAAGTAGCTCATCCCCCATGAGAATGAATGGTGATGCACATGGAGGAAACCATGGTAACCCTGATGCCCAAGGACTCTGCAATAGCAGAGAATCCACAGATCAAGTTTAGAAAGTTGTATACATATTTAAAGCTCCTATCCTATAAAAATCTGTAACAAAGTTTAACCACGGTAGATCAACTATAAAATGTCTGTACCAATTTGGGGGTGTAATTCTGTCTGAATAGACAGATTTTTCTTGTATCCAACACAGTCCCTTATTTTTCTACTAGATGTGCAATAAGCTGTATTTTTTATACTTTAAATTATACTCTGATCCTACAGAGTATTTTCATTTAGCACAGGCTATAGCCATATTATTTTCTGATTTTTATGTATTTTTAAAAAGTCAAAGGCAAGGAATAAATATGGAAGTATCAGTGAAATATCACACATGGCTGTCATCACAACCATATACTATTGCCACAGAAAGGCCTCCTGACATAAAATCACTGTTAGATTTTTCCATTTATTGATCATTTCCTTCATCAGAAGAACAGCTGTAAAAAAGCATAGTAGTTTTAGGGCAACACACTATCTAACACTGATACTGGAGATGAGCACCAAATTAAATTATCGTAAGAGAGTCCCTGCTATGATCTGTGCTATTTTTCTTAGAGCTGTAAGAGGAATCAAGACAACTGAATGATCATAATGCACAAGCCAAGAATCTGTGCTACACTGGATATAACTTCAGCCATACAGTTACTGAATTTTCAGTATCTGTATTTTCTATTTTTAATCAGAAAAGCAGTGGTTGCATTTTTTTAGTAAACGGTGTCAAATTTACACTTTAGCAACATTGAACAAACTAATAAGACAAACACAAACATCACCTTGCCGTATTTTCATACCTACCGAGCCCCTTTATAAAGCCGATCACGCTGGATTTTCTCCAACATGCTACTGTAATATCCATGAGCCTGTGAATACCTGA